TGAAAACCCCCTCCTTCACAATCACAAACTCCGCCGACGCCTCTGCCAAATGCAGCGCGAAAACCACCTGAATCCTCCTCCTCGTCCTCCTGCCGATCCCAAAGACCTCATCAAACCCTGATCAAAACCCTCCTCGCCTCCCCTCACGGTCTCCTCCTCCCTCGACAAGATCCCCATCACCAGAGAATTCCCCACGAGATCCCCATGCCCTCATCAAAGAATCGAGTTCACACAGTTGGCCCACGAGATCCCCATCGCCGGTGAAATACTCCTCCTCGACGATCACAGACCCCCTAGCTTCTCACTGTCGATCACATCCACCACCTGGTTCGTCACCATCACCACCAGCTCGAAGACGTGGAAGGCGTGGGGGTGGAGGAGGAGGAAGGAGCTGGCGGCGAGGGGCAGAGAGGGAGTGGGGGAGGAGAGGGGGAGGGAGGAGTTGGGGTGGGAGAGGATTAGGGGGGTCAATTTTGCTATTTTTTGTTAGAGAAGTCAGTTTTGCTTGTTAAAATTGCAAAATAGTTGCTTTTAAAAATTTGTCCTTTATTTAACTTTGAGGAGTATAATTATCTGTACCTCACTTTCCACGCGTATTACATTCGACCTCTTAGCATAGGGGCCACATGCCCATTAAAACTACGACGGGCGAGCAACGGATAGTCAAGAGATTTTTCGCACTACCCAACTAGCATGTCACCAACATTTCACTGGTTGCGCCGGTTCCATATGATTTCAAATTTCAAAAATACCGCTCTAAAATTACAAGCCCTAAATAATAATAGTAATACTGCTAATTTATAAATAAATAAATAAATAAATTACCCACTGCTACGCACAGCAAATCAGAGTCCTTAAATTCCTCATTCGTAATTTTCGAAGCAGCGCTCCTCTCTCTCTATCGCTCTCTCACCCACTCTTTTCCCCTTTTGTTCAGGTTCCCCCACACTCTCTCGCTTTATTAAAAAAAATCTAGGGTTTTCATCTAAGTATTAGGGTCTTAATCAATCTTTAATCTCTTGAAATCTTGATCATTAACAGAAACCAAGCAAAGAAATGAGACAGATTCAGTACTCGGAGACATACTTCGACGATACCTACGAGTACAGGTACTCATTCAATCAAAAAAAACCATATTTTTGTGCATTTTTGTTCTATTATATATTCAATTTGATCTTGAATTACAGAAATTTGATAATTATTGATGATCTTTTGGTTAATTCAGGCACGTTGTCCTCCCGTCTGACGTTGCAAAGATGCTGCCCAAGAATCGCCTTCTCTCTGAGGTAATCCCAAATTCTAGAGCTTTCTTTCGAAAAGTTTTTACTTTCTTTGAGTTTTTTTGCTTGAAGTTAGGATCTATAAGGATAAATTTCACAACCCCCCCCCCCCCCCCCCCCTNGAAATTTGGTTTGAATTCATCGCAAAGGGTCACTTTTTTAAGGTTTAGGGCTCAAATTCTAGATTAGAAGGCGAAAACGTTTTAAGGATTGGGGGTTTCGTAAAAGTCCCAAAAGTTTAAAGGGGTTCTTGTTTTCTTCGAAAGTTGAAACTATTGTGGAATTCATTATATCTTCGATCGATTACAACAAATTCAAAAGAAAATACTCTTTTTATAAGACTTCTTTGACACAATAAATGAAAATTACAACTCTCTAGAAAATAACACAGAAATTGTTTATCGATTTCTGTTTTATGGGACTTTGCCTATGCCGGGAGTGTTTTGGCTCGTGGACTAGCGATTTACAGATTGTGAAGGGGTTATGGGATTCTTCCTTCATTTATCGAAGTAAGAATTTGAAGCGAATATCTTATAGATGTAAGATGTTCACTCTTCCAAAGATCAGGTCAGAGCTTAGATCTCTAGGAATCACTAAAAGCTTTAGAAACAGTTGTGAGGACTGAAGGCTCTCTCTCTTGCTCTAATTCAACAAAAGGCTTAGGCTTCTCTGCTATATTCTGCTCTCTGTCCTTTGCTTCGTGTCTAGGAAGGTATTTATAGGGATAGGGGTGCACAACAGTGGAAATGAAGGATAAATAACTGACCAAGTGTGTATTCTTTGGGCACGTAAGTATTCGCTGCCGCAGATATTAGCGCGTCACTGTGGTCTGGCGTGGCTAAAGGGCAGTTCCAGTCACGTTCTATCACGTTCTTAACAGTTCTCTCACGTCTTTAGGCCCACGAAACACCACTTTTCTCCATCTATAACCACCCCGCACGTTAGCACACGTTCTCTTTCTAATATGCCGCCACGTGGACCCTCAGAAGGATGTTAAAACTGTTAATAAATCATACAAAGATACCACATGAATACGCGTGCAACCCTCAACTGCTGCGTCTACGCGCGCCACACTCGACTGTCGCACATTGTCACGTCATCATAGGCTATCGCGCCTATGCGCGTCACCATAAGCTGTCACGCCTATGTGCATCGCCATCTGTTGTCTTGTTAACACACGTCAGTGTATCTTGTCACCGGTATGCACATTATTCTATGTTGTTTTGCTTCCTTTGGTCTTATATGATCTCCCATGACTTAGATAATAGCGTTTATCGTCTTCTATTTATCTTGAACAGTATTTGGATATCCATAAGTATTTTTTGATGCCTACAGATACCTCATCCAAAGTATCTCAGACTCATTCTTTTACTGAAAAGTCTGGGATACTTTGGATAAGATAGGTCTTATTTGCAATCTCTTTAGTGCTTAGTTGAAGAGATCGTGTAAAAGGACCTGTGAACGACTTTAACTCTTGACTTCTTCACCTTTTAGTCTATTCAGTGCTTTGTAGAATAGCTAAAAAAATTTTGATGTTGTGTTTATCGCTTGACCGTTGTTGAAGTCTTAAACTGAAATTAGTGCTTTGATCTGCAATTTTAGTTCTTATTGCTGAACCAACATCGGACGGATTGTCGACGCATCGGCATTCATGAGGACATAGTTTATACTCATAGACCTATCGGAGTTCTTGGGAAATAGTTTTACCTCGTATACTAGTTAGGAGGTTCAAGGAGATGCAGTTTATACTCATATACTCATCGAAGTTCGGGTATGCATTCCAAATACAATGGGAAATGTACGTATACAAATACCCATGAAATCATTGTGTGTGCGTGGCGCCTTTGCGCGTCAGCGTCGACTATCGTGCTCACGCGCGTCAGTGTCAACTGCCACGCTCACGCGCGTCAGCGTAGACTGCCGCACGTGAGCACGTCAGCATTGACTGCCGCGCACAGAGGCGTCCCAGCGGGTTTATAATTTGCGTGTTGGGTCTTTTCGGGTTGTTTTTTCCCGCTTCTCTGAGTTTGAAATCATCTCCAAAACCCTATAAAAGAATTCTCAAGCCTCTTCCCCTCCTCACCTCTTCATATTTCGGTGATTCTTGTTCTAGGGTTTCGAACTCTTCTTGGTTCTGAGCTTTCTCTTCAGTTCTTTCTCCATCAAAGCTTGATTTTCTTCACCCTCTGGTAAGAAACCAATCCTAGAGTTTTGGTTCCCTTTGTATGTTAAACTTTTATTTGAGATTTCGACAAAACCCTAACTTCCTTGTGTTTTCTAGGTCAAAATTCCTCTTTTTCACTATGTCACTCAAAAGATCCAGGGTCCACAAGGGCAGATCTGCAGCCCAAGCGCCAGAGGAGGCTGAGGTCGTTGCCTCTTCTTTTGGAGGTAAGCTTTTTTGTGTTTTTTTTCTCTGTCCAAAATTGATGATTTTATATATATAACCTCATTTGTCAAAATATATAACCTCATTTGTCTCCTTTGAGAGTCATCCGAGAAGAGTTGACATCCTCCCTCGAGGGGATTGACTCTATAAGACATGTAACATGGCCAAGATATGAATTTTGCTCATATTCGTGGCTTTTTGAAGCTATCGGCCGCTGCTTAGTTACCGCGACAGCATGTGCTGCCGCGGTTAAGCGCGGCAGCGTGCACTGTTGCGGTAACGCGTGGCGGTGAACACTACCATGGCCACTTAGAGCAACGGATTTTGCTCTTTTAGCCTCTTTGTTTAACCGTGATTCGATTTTGTTTACAGTCCACTTTCCCTTTGTTGCTTTTGCTGATGGGGAGAATACTGGTCAAAGTAGCACTCTTCATTCCTCTTTTGATGGCAATTTTCTGGTCAGAGGGGTCCGTCAGTTTAATGAGGATAGTGCTGACAATATCCTTGAACTCATTTATGAGGGAAGTTGTCGCACACTGCATCAGTCATTGACCGGCAGCATACACTGTCGCGGTAACGCGTGGCGGTGAACACTACCATGGCCACTTAGAGCAACGGATTTTGCTCTTTTAGCCTCTTTGTTTAACCGTGATTCGATTTTGTTTACAGTCCACTTTCCCTTTGTTGCTTTTGCTGATGGGGAGAATACTGGTCAAAGTAGCACTCTTCATTCCTCTTTTGATGGCAATTTTCTGGTCAGAGGGGTCCGTCAGTTTAATGAGGATAGTGCTGACAATATCCTTGAACTCATTTATGAGGGAAGTTGTCGCACACTGCATCAGTCATTGACCGACTCACCTCTAACACCTATTCAAGATTCTACCGAGCCACTAAGGAAGCCTGACTATTTGTTCGGGGATTCGGTCGAAGATCCTGACACCCTTTGCTGTGGTCCTAAAGCTTGGATGAATGAGTATGATGGGGACCTTCTGTTTCTTCCTCCGTTTCCCCGGCACTACTCGATTTTACAACTACGGAATTTAACCGTTTCAAGGAAGATGTCATGGCATTTGCCAGATGACCACGCACGCATCCATTGTGGGTTCATTGGTAAGGATATTAGTGCTCCTGGCTCTATTGGTCGACATACCATTCATGGTCTTCACCCAGGGGTACTTGGACTAGATAGTGGACCTAACAATGAATTGATAATAAGGGCCAACACAGTAAAGAATCAGCTTGCTCAAATTGGCAGAGAATTTCCTCTCAAGAAGTTCAGATGCTTTGGTTGGGTTCATTCGCTTGCTGACAAATGGTAGTCTAGGATGACCAATTATGTGCTCGGCCGCTGGGGTCAGGAGTTAGCTAATGTAGGATTAGATATTCTAATTCGAGCTAGCATGTATGGTCTTTCGATAAGTGTAGATAATTTTCTCGGTCTATTTGAGTCTTATAACCCGGATACGAATACATTCTTCACCAAGTACGGGGAGTTAGGGCTTCCGCTTCATGAGATGATAAAGGTCTCAGGGTTACCAATAGGGGACACTCCATACCAAGAATATTTTCCCGCTAATCGTCAACTTATGAGGATGAAGAGGGCTAGTTCTGTTGCCTATGATATCCTTTGGGAATTAACCTGTCATTATCAAACGGTGGTAGCCAGGATTGAGGTGAAAAGTAAGAAGGTAGCTCAAGTCAGTCTGAAATAATTCGTCGATTATTTATTCCAGAATCTCAAAAGTTTGACTGGTGAAGCAGTTTGTGAATCACCTACGCTGACTCCTTCTGATGTTAACAAGCTGATCGTGAAGATCAACGCTCAATCTTATACAATTGGATCATCTGAAGGTGGTTTCCCAAGCGGCACGGAATTCAGAACCTTCTTATGGCAGGCCACAAAGAAGATGAGATCAGAAACTCTTCTTGCTGGGTACTTAGCTATTTGGCTAAAGAAGTGTGTGGTGCCACATCAACCTTCGGATTCTCTCCCACTTGAAGTTCTCTTCCTTGCTGTTCAACTAGCTGTTAGGGGCCGATTATCACTACTCTCTGCCATGATTGCCGACATCCACAGCGGGCTACGCGGTTTAGCTAAGACTTTCACACAAGTGGGTGCTGAGCCCTCAAGTAAAATCCCTATGTCGAGAGTAGAATTGTCGTACACGTATTTGATGACCTGGCAGGTTCTCCACCGATCTGATATGATGTCGGCTCCCAAAATTTTTGACCCGGAGATTCCTTTGCTACAACTCTTGGAAGGATGCAAATGGTTGAGTCCATCCCGACAATGGCATAATGTGGTACGACAATTCAGGGAGGCTAAGTGTTGGGAGTTTCATAAATGTTTCCCTTGATTCTCAGGTGCTTATAATGAAATGCACGCCGATGAGGAAATACCTGGGACTAATAGGACCTCTCTCAATTTTGGCGGCTTTCATTGGCTGATGAACATTCGACCAGGTTATATGGTTTTCCGGTCGAAGAACATTTGTAGAATTGAGCCTTATTTTCCCTGTAGATTTGCGCGATAATTCGGCTATGATCAGCTGTACGTTGGGAACCCGAACAAGTGGCCAACAACCTGCGGAGGTCTTATCGATGGAGTGCGAGCTTG